TCAAGACTAAGGCCTACAATGTTGTTTATGTAGCCTTTCCATTTTTGTTTTGATCTTCTATTTGGTTATTCATGTAATATTAAACATAGGTCTTTGAATTTATAACCATTTATTAAGTACCTACGACTTTCTAGGCATTATATATAAGGTGTTAGACACAGTGTTTGTCCTCAAGTTGTTCACAGGCTGGAGCAGGTGGCAGGCTTGTGATCCATTAAAGTACTAAGTTATATGTACTAAAAGTGTACTAAGTAATATGGTAAAGGAGAAGACTACATACTCTGGCAATGTAAGAGGCCCACCTTATTCATATAGGAACTGCTTTCCAGAGAAATGATGTTAAGCTAAGTTCTGAAAGAGAACCCATTTTCCAGAAATGGAAATAAATAAGATGTAGTTGAAATAAGAGACTCATATTGAGAAGAACCTTGAGCTGACATATGGATGAGTTTGTGTTTTTTGCTGAATGCAATGGTAAACCACTGAAATTTTTAAACAAAAGAGAGATAATTTTATCTCTCTTATCTCTCTTTATCAGGTATGCCTTTTAGAGAGATCATTTTAATGACTTTATGGAGGATAGATAGAAGTGGGACTGAAGGCAGGGAGATAAGAAAGGAGGTTACTGAAATGCTATAAGCTAGAAAACAAAAGTGTTGCTCTTAAGGCACAGGGATGGAAGACAGCAATCTTGTCCTCATCTAGAGAATGATTCACGACTCTGGCTAACAGACTTGGGGGCTCAAGCGCATAATACCTTGTGTGATGTTTGGGTGGCCAAAAATTAATACTGAACAATCTTACTCAGTTAAAAGAAAAATAAACCCAACCAGATTAATTGCGTTTAGGTGTGGGTGTGTGACAGAAAGTCATTCGAGAACTGGCTACACTTGCCATCTCTCTAAAAAGCCTCCTGGTCTCTCTCCTGTTTGTACCTTTGTTCTTTGCTTCTGCTCCATTCTCTTTTCTCTTTCAATTCCCCTCTCTGTTTACTCAATTTATACATCCTCGTAATGTACACTTGCCTATGCCCATCATGGCTCTTCAAGCCTCATACTATGTAATGAATAGGCATTTCCCTCTCCTAAGTGGGAATGTCTCTCAGTATTCCCTGGGTCACATTCCCAAGAAAGAAAAATGAATGGCTCTGTTCATCTCTGCTCATCTGCCTAATCTATGATCCATAACTCTGCAGAATTTTGACCGGCTCTAGTCTTGGATGGTAATATATAGAGAAGATATGGAGAATAGTGGGACCTACTTCAGAGCTTGTAAACAAAATAATTACCTTTAGAAGGGATAGCTGAAGTTTACCTACATCGGTGACAATAAGAATTGACTACAGGTGAGAGGTTTAAGGAAAGTTTAGAAATCAAAGCTGTTGAATGTAATGATCCATCAGATATGAAACATAATAAATAGGGAGGTTTCAGATGTGATGCACTGAGAAATTAGCAGGCCATCTACCTTAATAGGAAAAACAAGAAGAAAGGTCCTTTGATTAGTTCAAATTTGAACATGTGGATCAGCTTTGTAGAAAATCCCAGTAGGTAGCTATATATATTGTTTTGCTCCCAAGAGCTATTTGGATTAGAGACAGCCATTTATGAACACACTCTTTTTGGCTTCTAAGGTTTTCTTTTACTTAGTCTTCCTCCCTGCCTCTTCTGCATCCTTTGCATTTGCCTACTCTGCCCTCTTCTCTTGTGATCTCTTTGAGGGACGTATATTTCTAGAAGCCCAATTCTGGTTCCTCTTCATCTTCTCTATATAGTCTTCCCTGGATAATTTCTTCAAATCCTAAATTAGTAAATGCCATATTTATGCTTGTAACTTACAAACTGTTATCTTCAAACTCATATATCCAGTTGCTTACTTCACATCTCAAACTCTCAATCTGAACCCCTTACAGCTCATATACCCCAGTATTCTTTGGCTTATTTTATATAATTATTATTCTCTTGTTGACAAAAGTCAGAACTTGAAGATTATACTTGATACTATCTTTTTTTAAATTCTCCACAGCCAGCCTGAAAGCAATGTCTATCAGTGCCATCTCTAAGATGTGTCATGACTCCATTTTCTTCCTTCCACCCTATTGCTGTGACCTTGTTATAAGCTATTAGCAAAAAACTTCTTAATTTAACTATCCAGTGGCTTCCTATTTCACTTAGAATAAAGTTTAGATTTTGACAGAGACCACATTATCCTTACCTCTGTCCTTAGCACATTCCTACAACATTGTGTTCTACCTCTCTAACAAGGTTCTTCCCCTTAGGGCATTTTCCTTGGAGTTTCTACCCCTTCAAACCATATTCACTGTTCTGCCTTTTTTGAATTACGTAAGTTACAACTCATATGTCATCTGAATAAAGGGATCTTTCCTGTGTCCAGTACAAGCAACCCCCCCGACCTAATCCCATCAATTTTACATTAATGTATTTTTTTTGTCTCTTTACAATAATTTTCTCTCTGAAATTACCTTTATTTCCTTGTTTAAGGTCAGTTTTCCCAAACCCCTTCACTAGAATTTAAGCTCCAAGAGGTAGAGATGTTACCCTTTTTATTCACTGCTACATCTCCAGTGCCTAAAACATTGCCTAGTAAATGTACTAAGTTGTTGATGAATGATTCAGTTAATTCTTGCAAAAGACCACTGACAGGTCTTCTCATTTCCATTCTTCTCTTTATAGTCCATTTTCCACAAAAGACAAAAAAAATCATGTTTTGTAAATATAAAACACATCATACCTCTCCATTAATTTAGTATCTTTGATGGTTTCCCATTGCACTCAAAATAAGACTCACCCACCATATACGTTTTCAGTACCACTCTCTTCTTGTTCATTACACTCCACTGATCTTTTCATTTTTAATCACACCAAACTCCTTTGCTTGGGATACTGTTCCTGACATTCAATGTATAGATATCATCTCTTTCCTTAAATTTTGATTTAAGTTTTATTTCTTCAGAGAGGCTTTCCTGATCTCCTTACTTAAAAGAATTATCACCTTGGGATTTCTTTTTTTCTCAGCCCCTGATGTGTTTCCTTTGTAGCATTCAGTAGTTTTTCAGCTACTACAATTATATTTTTGTGTATTTGGTTTTCATCTGCCCAATCCACTAGAATGTAGGAAGATCAGGTCTGTCTTGTTCCCTTTAGTGTCCTTAGTACCTAACATGATAATTAGGACCCTGAAGGGACTCAAGAAATGTTGTTTTTTAAAAAAACAAGCCTGGGTGGCTCAGTTGTTGGGTGTCTGCCTTTGGCTCAGGTCATGATCCCTGGGTCCTGGGATCGAGCCCTGTATCGGATTCCGTGCTCAGTGGGAAGCCTGCTTCTCCCTCTCCCACTCCCCCTGCTTGTGTTTCCTCTTTCGCCAGGTCTCTGTCAAATAAATAAATAAATAAAATCTTTTTTAAAAACGATATTAAATGGTAGTAGAAGCTATTGAAGTAAATAAGATTACTCCTATTACAAACTAGAGACACCTAACTAAATCTAGCCTGAAAACATGATATTTTTGCTTTGTGTTGTGTTATTTTAGGCAGGAGCATGGTTTTAATTTTTTTTTTTTTAATTTCTTTAAGGTGTAACATGAATGCTATAGGCTATATCCTAGTCCTTATCTAGGGGTAGTACTGAAATATTCTAACAAGTAAGGTTCACATCTATTAGAAAGAATATAGGACACTTTGTCAGATATTAATAGATTATTAACTTTTTTACTTCACCAGATGTTAACCCCAGGAGTTAGTGATAAGAGATACTAATTGCAGAAAGATCCAGAAGGACCAGGGGAAGAAGACTTGGAGTGTGGGGTTGAAGGGAGACAGACAGAACTGGGGCGGGGGAGCCCAGAATGGAGAAGCTGGAGAAAAGACTCCCCACCCCCAAAAATGGTTTTCTAGCAGCTTAGAGAGAGAAGTGCTTTAAGCGGGCAACTGTGTCAACAGGTAAGTGTAGAGAATTGTTTCCTTGAAAGACATTGCTGACTCAACAACAAAAGTTTTCAGTAGAAAGTAGGTGTGAGGAATCAACTTTCAGTGGAGTGAGGAATGGTTATAGACTACTTGAGAGGCTTACCAAAGAGAAGAGTGGTAGATATAGTCTACCAGAGACATAAAACATGAGGAAGTGTGTTGTCTGTAGATAATTTCAAAACAGAAATAAAACTGACTAAACTTTGTCTTCTTTTTAATATCGCCATGCTCTAGCAATTCCAAAAAAGGTTAGGGTTAAAATTCTCCTCCCCTAGGTTTCTACTCTTTAAAGAGAGGGATAGTATAACAGCTAAAAGAGAGTATAAGGTCAAAGGAGGATGACTTGGGGCACCTGGGTGGCTCAGTCGGTTAAGCGTTAAGGTTGAGCCTTCAGCTCAGGTCTTGATCCCAGGGTCCTGGGATCGAGCCTCACATTGGGGCTCTCTACTCATCAGGGAGCCTACTTCCCCCCTCTCTCTCTGCCTGCCTCTCTGCCTACTTGTGATCGATCTCTCTCTCTCTGTCAAATAAATAAAATCTTTAAAAAAAAAAAAAAAGGAGGATGACTAAGATTAAAGGAACCTGTGAATGTTTATAATAATAGAAAGGATCAGTTTGGAGGCTGTGTTTCAATAGAGTAGAGGTTATAATCAATAAAGCAATCTGAGGGTATACAAAATGCACAAAACACAGTAATGATTTAGCCTTAAATAAAAATAGCACTTCTAATTCCTAGAGGAAAAATCCTGATTCTTGATTCAGAATTGTTGTATTATGGCAAGTTGTAGATCTTTTTTATTTCTTAAATTAATTCACAAATTCTAATTATATTACTAAATAGTTACTCATTTTATCCACTTTTGAAGATAATCTTCCAACATTGGTATTCCAAATGTGACTATTACCTATTTTACGGATTTCATGTAAAATAACTTTAAATGTACTGTATTAATAGATATATTCTAATTTCTGACATTAAATTATTGTATTCTGCATTTGCACTTATTTCATACAGGTAACAAATACTGGGTGTTTAAGGATACAACTCTTCAACCCGGTTATCCTCACGACTTGATTACTCTTGGAAGTGGAATTCCTCCGCATGGTATTGATTCAGCCATTTGGTGGGAAGATGTTGGGAAAACCTATTTCTTCAAGGGGGACAGGTCAGTACACATTTCACATGAGGTAAATAGTTAACTAATTGTTTAGAGAAGTTAATATTTCTACTCTATAATAGACATGTACTGTTGATTAAGAATCTGTGTGAATATAAAGACAAGAATTAATGAAATAAAAATATTTTTAACATATTTTTAAATAATATTCAAGATAAATCTTCCTGTAATATACATAAATAATATGACCTTTGAATGTAGATATTCTTCCTCTTCTGCATAAGCTTAACATGCCTATAAATCTGTATAGGCAGTATTTATGTAATCTTGTAATACATATTCTTGTTGTTTTAACTTTATTTGAAAAGCACACTTTCACAAAGGCTTTTTTTTTACTTTTATATTGAAAGTTAAATTTTTATATTTTGCACGCTATTAACTGTAAATGTTTTCAATTCCGTTTAGTCATGAGTTCTATTTCTTAAGATGCCAGTTATTTAGGTACCAACAAAGAGTTGTTATGAACTAGTCAAACAATCACTTAGCAACTCTCTTTTCCTTTCATTTCTTTTATGGCATTAGAAAAAATTAAGTGAAATGTTAGTCTTAATAGAATCTCCTAGGCATACATAGCTCCACTCCTGTGTGCCTTTGATATATATTATACATAAAATGTAACTTGAAGTCTATATTTTTTATTAATTTAATATTAGGTAGAAAAAACAATAGAGATGAAAAATAATTTTTTTTGAAAAATAAATTTTTAATTACACTATTACTATCTGGGTCAAATGTGACACTCAGTATAATTTTTATTAGTATGTAGAACTTAAGTATGCATTTTACTGCACTTTATAGTAAATTAAAAATACACACCCTTATACACATAAACACACATATGAACAACAGGCTTGAATGCCCATCTTAGCTAGTATTGAGTTTGCCTTATAATCTTGGCATAGTATAACCATATAAAATGTCTCCAACTTTAGGAGAAAAATATGTAAGGATATAAGCTTTATTTTATAAATTGCAATTTTTAATTGCAAGTCATTTCAAACATTGAGCTTTATCTGTGAACAAATACCTCCTATAATTTTTCTCCATGGATAAGAATGTATACTTTTCAATTTATTCTGTTGCTAGCTCTCTATATATTTGATTTGTATATACTTCTGTAACAAAATGTTTTAATGTACTATCATGAAACTAAGGTGCTAACTGATTATAAAATCACAGAACAAAAAAGGTGTGTCAAACAAAAATTTTATTAAAGGAGAAGATGCTACTTATAGCCACAAAAAGTATATGATTCTCAGGAAGATATGAGTGTAATATAGTACGAAAGAAGAATGAAGAAATTGATGGCCACAGCATGGTGAGCACTAAGGAAAATAATTCTGCAGATTCCAAACATATTCTTTAAAATTACAACCCTGAAGGTTGTTAGAGTTTAAGTCCCCAAGCGATTTAATTGCTTGAATGTACTCTTTTAGAACCAGGTTCAATAAAGAGTTTTTTGTTGTTTTAGGTTTTCTTATTTGTTTGTTTTTGGAGAAAGGTGTAGAAACAAAAGGCTGATGAAACACACTTCTGCAGGACAGAACATGAAGCTTAGCTTTCATGGAACAACTTTCACAGAATTTCACAGATGGTAATAAAAACCGCCATTCTATTATCAGATAGCCTATTTTTTTTTCACACATGTAGGTATTGCTTTTAAAATGTTTCCAATATAGAAATTTAGCACTTACTGAAAAATAAGTTTAGAAACTAAATGTTTCTAAATCAGTGAAATCAATGAGGGTTAGATACCAAATTCATACTAGAATGAAGGCAGTAGTAAATGGGAAAAGGAGTTTTAGTTCATTTGTTTCCTACTTGAGAAGCTACAGGCAAATATAATAAAATATATAGAAGAAATACTTTAAGCTCTGCCTAATTAATTGATTTTATAGATTTAAAAATATTTAAAAGAGAATCTGATTAATTTCCATGTGTATGATCTTATGTATGATTTCATAAGTCATAGATGTTTTATAAGCAGATTAATTCATATTCACATAAATCTATAATTCCAAAATCACAGTTTATCAGTATATTCATTCAAGATTAAAAGTATATGGACAAGACAGTAAACTACCTAACTGAAACATATAAGCAACAATTTGGTTTTCACTTTTATATACGAATTCAGTTTGTCTTTCTTCCTTATAGATATTGTATATTTTATGGGTGTTGATTAACAGGTTTCCATTTCTCTAAGTCTAAGATTAGAAAGGGTTTTAGAAATAATCTAGCCCAGGCATAAAAAACTCAATTGCTTTAAGGGGTTGGGCAAATAAGAAATAAACTACTAGGTACAGCAATAGGATGATGTTAAGGCGATAGTAGGAAATGATGGGTACTATAGTGAACTGGAAAGTACAAATACACTAGAAAAGCACTCAAAACCAGAATCATTTATTTAATTTGCTAGACAAACAAAGCACAGCTTTAAATTGGATTTGGTCCAAGTACTACCATATGTCAGCCCTGAATCTTGTCTTTTCCACTCTCAAAAGACTCTTCCATAGTCTTTTCCACTCTCAATAGCTCTAATTCCTCTTCCTTAGGATTTCAATAATAGTCCTGGCATACCCTCATTCATTTATTCAAAAAAATATTTTGTGCATATATGTTGTGACCTGTGCTAGAAAGGACCACAAGGCTTCTGCTTCCATGGTACATAACTTCTATTAAAGGAGACAGTGGTAAACAGTAAACAAGTAAATGAGCCTGAAACTTTAACATTGAGAAATGCTACAAAGAAATAAATTTGATTTATCACATTATGTGATAGAGACTCATGGGTGGTAAGGAACAGTTAGAAAATTAGTGTGGAAGTCAGAGAAAGCCTCACTTATGAAGGGGACGCTAGAGTGGGGACTTGAACGGGTGAATCAGCCACATGAAGCTGTCTGGAACAATATGTTGTTGGCAGATGACATAATGTGCAAAAACATTAATACTGGAATGTTTAAATCAGTTAAAACATTCTGGCTAGAGAATAGCAAGTTAAGTGGTAAAGGAAGTCAAATAGGTAAGTAGGGACCAGATTACATGGGGCCCTATAGACCATAGCAAAGACATTGGATTTTATTCTAAGAATAATGGAAAGGCATTGAAGAATTTTCAAGAGGAAAGGGAAATGACCTGATTTGTACTCACAAACATCACTATGGTTTCTGTGTGAAGAATGGGCTTTAGGAGGGAAGCAAAGAGAATAACTGGCAGGTTGTTGGAGTAGTACAGAGGGATACCATGTTGGTAGTGGAGATAGAGCAAAAAGGGTGGGTACAGGATATATTTTGAATGTAATCAGAACAAGTCTTTGTTACAGCTTGGATCCTAGGTGAGAAAAAAGAAAACTAAAGATAAATTCTAGGTTTTTCACCTGAAAAACTAAATAGATGGTGCCATTTCTGGAGATAGGGTAGACAGGGGAAGGAATACAGGGGAAAGGGGATTAAAAGATTGAAATGTTCATATTTAGATTGAGATGCTTGTTTTACATACCAGCTGGATGAATCAAGTAGGTACTTGGATAATTGAGTTTGCTCCTCAGTGGAAAGATCAGTCTGAGGTACACATTAGAGAATGGTAAACATCATTAAGAGCAGGGGCCTACCTCAAATCTCCTAAGTATAGAGAGAGCCAGAAGAATAGCTGAAATGATGGCTCTTTAAATAGATCTGTAAAGTGAGATTAAAATTTCCACTATTTCACTATTTTACATATAGCCTGGAACTTAGTTCCTCAGATTCCTACTTGCCCTTTTCTTAATACACTATAATTTGATACTTGGATACATTTTGGATCCTCCTAGCATTTAACTCTAAAATGCTATGTTTCTAAATCATCTGTCAGCATCTTCTCACAAATATATACAGGACTCTATTGCCATACTTCATTCTAAGCTTAACTTCTAAGAATTTTAAGATATTTTCAATGAAAGACAAAATTTAGATCCACTTTGGTTTTTACTATTTTTACCACTAATAGTCAAAGAGAAAAACATATTTATTTTCTCCAGCTTAACTTGTGTGTTTATGAATTACTCAATATATGTTTTTAAAATCATCCAACACAGTATAAATTAATATTTCCAATTCTGCTGCATGTTTAAGAATGTTTCTGAAAAGTATAATTTTTTTAATAACTATTTGGGTACGAAAAAAAGAAGTCGTCCTATATGTTGTGTAATTTAAGAGAAGCAGGTAGTTTTGACTCGGTAGTACAGAAATGAGACAAACTAGGATGAAGAAATGGCTGGGTCATGTGAAATAACCCTTGGAGCCACTTTTTTTTCAGTTTGAATTCAGTATCCAACAACATCCCATTAAAGTATGGCATTCTAGAATTTTCTATACCATTTTTTTTTTTTTCATAGAGAAAGCATTTAACAAAATGTTGTATACCATTACATGGACATTTTTGTCTCTTGTTGATATGAACATTCCATTTATATTTTCTTGAAATGTGATCTTATGAATCTTATGTGCCTGGCTCAAAAAAGTATTGATGGGTCAATGGATTTATGAATGAACAGAAGGAGAAAAGAAGGAAAATTATACTCGAGCAATATATCTGAAGAGTTTGAGAGATAGCACCAAGAGAGTAAGAATGCTCTGCCAAAGGAAACAATAACAGTAATGTACTAACCTATGAATCCAGCAGCATTAGAGTCTCAACTCTGCAACATTTCAAAGGAGCAAATGCAACTAAATCATTATCTTTTAATGCTCTAGCACTGACTGAGTTGAGAGACCATACATACTAAATCTGTGTTTAGGATATGATCATAGAAAACACTGTAATATGCAATATAGAAGATTGTTGAGGGATTTATCCCTCAATGTATGTACAAATTTACTTTATAGCTACAAAAGCCTACATAAATTATTGGTATTGTTATATGAACATTGTTACAACTACTTCTCAGAGAACAACCCTGGTTTCTAAGTATGTAGTTAATCTTTCTTAAATTATATACAGGGTGTGATCCATTGTCCCCAGGATTTTTAATTGTTCCAAACCTCTGGCTTAGCAATAGCTTACTTTAAGTTATAGCTTATATCTAAAAATGGTATTTATTGTAAAACATGTCATTATTTAAACTATCATGGAGGGGAAAACTCTACCAAGTAAACTTTGATACAGTATCTATTGTAAAGTGCATTCTGATTTTAGTGATGTAAAATGTAGGGGAAAAAAAATGTTTCTCAGAATCCGAAAATAAGGCATTTGACTAGTTCTCTCTGAGAGGTTTTCTCTGTGGTCAAGTGCAGGAACCAGTTGATATATATGACTATTGCAAACCTCACTGAAATATTTACTTGAGAGAAGATATCTTGAAATTTTGAGGGCGATCTCAACCACATTAATTATTCTATATTCATCAAAGAATGGTTTGTGAAAAAGAATATTCAGGAATATTTTTAAAGCAGATGTTCCCATGAACTAAACGTGAATGAAAATATACTTCAAAATTGGTAGGATAATACGCTAATGATTCTGCCAACTTGTCTTCAAAGAGACAGGCCCAATCACCTTTATATTAGCTCAGTCTTCTCCATGAAGATTTTCCTGACCTTTCCATCAGACCTGTTCTCATCCTCTTGAGATAAGAATCTGCAATAAATACCTGTAAGAGGGTATTTCCCTTTTTGGATAAAATCTGCCTTATGGTTACTTACTGGAATACTTCCTGAAACAATCTTTTTCTCTTTTCCATTTAAACCTTGAGAATGGGGGGCGCCTGGGTAGCTCAGTGGGTTAAAGCCTCTGCTTTCGGCTCGGGTAGTGATCCCAGGGTCCTGGGATCGAGCCCCGTGTCAGGCTCTCTGCTCAGCGAGGAGCCTGCTTTCCTTCCTCTCTCTCTGCCTGCCTCTCTGCCTACTTGTGATCTCTGTCAAATAAATTAAAAAAAATTTTTTTTTTTTTTAAATTTAAACCTTGAGAATGGAATGGTTGCTAATATTCCAGATGTTACTTGACTGGATGTTTCTAGGGAATTACAGCAAAACCTAATGTAAAAAACCCCATAACTCCGTAGAATAAGAACCTTCCATAGGCCTTGAATTAAAAAAAAAAAAAAATCCAAAAAGAACCAGAAAAACTTTATTTTTTTCTGATTTCAGCCAAAGTGCCTAATCCCAAGATAATGCATTAAGTATGTCACTTCCCAAACCTGTGGGTAAAACACTAGCTTTAGCAGATGATAAGAGATGTTTAGTGGAAAAAAAGACAAAAGGTTGCTATGTAAATTTAAATTTGGAAAACATATTTGTGTGCTTGGAGAAAAGAGTAGGGACTTAAAAAAAAAAAAAAAGATTTTATTTATTTATTTGACAGAGAGAGACAGACCAGGGGGGCTACGAGAGGGAGAGGGAGAAGCCTGATGTGGGGCTTGATCCCAAAACCTGAGCCGAAGGCAGTCATTTAACCAACTGAACCACTTAGGTGCCCCAAGAGTAGGGACTTTTAAAGTCAGATAGAACTGGTTATAAATGTAACCCTCATGTCCTCTTAGAATTCTCTTCTCTTAGAAGGGGACAATGATGACTATCATGGGTTTGTTGTGATTAAATGAGATAATGCATAGATCATATGGCTGCCTTAAAGTGTGCAATATACTGTGAACTATCAATGGTTTCACTCCAGTTTTGTCATTTCTCTTGAACATTCAAGACATAAACTCATTTAATTCTTAGAACATTTTAAACAATAATAAGCCAGGATAGTAGGGCTGGTTACAGTTTATTCATTGGATGTCTAGCAGTTCTGTGGGAGTGGTTCATGGGCCTCGCTATGAAGGCACGGGGATCCGAGAGTTCTGACTCTTCACAAGCTTTCCTCTTATCTGGTTCTCCTATCTGTACACCAAGGGCTCCAGTCAAGACCCGCCCTAAAGTCTATACTCAGATACCCAATTGCCTCATCAACAGTTCTTCCCTTTGATATCTTGCAGGTACCTGAATTTTACAGATCTAAAGCCAAACTCATCATTCTTCCAACCAAATCAACTTACCTTCCCCCATTTCCTTATCTTACTGAATGGCCACATTATTCTTCCACATGTTCAGGCCCCAATTCTTGAGTTATGCTCAACTTCCTCCTCTCGCATCCTGCATTCAATACATTCGTAAGCTCTTTGGGATTTTCCTTCAAAATGTATTCTAATCTCTTGAATTATCATTAACTCTACAATTTACATTCTAGTCCAAGGTTTACTGCAGTGACATTTGAATTGGTATCCCTGCTTCTATTTTACCTCCTTAAGTCTATTTAAATCAAAGCAGCCAGCATGTTCCTTTCAAACATAAGCCATATCTTGAAGCTTCCCTGCTCAAAATCTATGTTGGCTTCACATATCCCTTAGTGGAAAACCAGAGGCTTTGCAATTGTATAAAGGTCTGTCTAATCTTAGATTCTGGTTCCCACTCTGACCTTTTCTTCCATATGTTAACTCAATCCTAGTCACCCTAGCCTCTTTGTGGATGCTTAAGTACTCCAAGTTTGTGCTTGCCACAGTAACTTTTCACTAACTAGTCCCTCTACCTGGAAAGTATTTCTCCCAAAAGCTGTATGTGTCATACCTTACTCCTTTCTGTTCAAATGTCTGATAAAGAAAGGACTCCCTGTCCACTAATTAAAATTGCTTCTCCATATTCCTAGCTAAATTTACTGCTTGTTTTTTAATCTTAACACCTCCTATCACAGTATGTATTTACTAAGAAATTGTTTTATTGCCAATGACCTGTACATATCCTAAAATGTAAGACTGATGAGAGCTGGAGAATATCTGTCTTGTTCAAAGTTGTATCTCTATCACCTAAAATATGCCAGGAACATAAAAGGTACTCAGTAAATATTTCTTAAATGAATAAATAAATAAAGATTCTGCTAAAGATGATTCAAAAAAAAAAAAAAAAAGTGCTCTGCTGCCTAAGCAAGTTTTATAAAAAATCATTAAAACCTCTTACTTATCCATAGATTAGTGAATAACTTAAATATATTTAGCAAGCACAATGTATTTAGCTAGAATTTTTAAATTAATTTTAGCAGACTAAATAAATATGCAGTAACAATACTCACTTTTAACATGTGCAAGAAAGGAAACAGAATGAATGCTATTTGTGTCCACTGTCTTTCTAGTGTTTTTACTGAGTCCTGTAAACCATTAACAGATAAGCATACAGCAAGGAGTCAGTGAATACTATTACTGTGTATACATAATTTCCTTCCCTATGCACTTTTTGTTTTGTTTTGTTTTGTTTTGTTTATTATCCTTTTTAGGTATTGGAGATACAGTGAAGAAATGAAGACCATGGATCCTGGCTATCCCAAACCAATCACAGTCTGGAAAGGTATCCCTGAATCTCCTCAAGGAGCCTTTGTGCACAAAGAAAATGGTACGCAGCATGTACATTATGTATTTCATGAGTTTACTATTTCAACAATGAATTCTAATTTTTCACAATGTTAAATCATTAGAAAGTACCATACTAGGGCTATCATGTATCATATTTACATGAACTTTCCATCCTAGATTTATGTTTAATATTATGCTCCAGATGTTTTCTAACCTCAGCTTATTTCAATTTATGAGAAAAAATAGACGCAAGTTTTTAAAAATGGAGGGTGTGGATACCTTCAAAGCAATATCACCTATTTTTCTATCAAAATGCCTATAAAGTTAGTAACAGACATACAGGGGACAGAGCTGGTCACAAGGAAGGTATTTTGTACATATGGGCTGAGACACAAAGACATCTGGCAATTGTGCATGTTGAAGATTTTAATTTTTCAATGTCACCTTTGGCTTAGAGTGTCAGCAAACAGGGACGATCCCAACTCAATACAATCAAGCTAAGTGACTGCATGATTGCTTAATAACAAGAAGCAGAGCAGAGAGCTGCCCCCGTTCCTTGCTCTCCATCTCAGGATTTGAGTTTCAGCCAGATCCTAAGTGGAAAGTTAGCCAAGTGAGGGAGAATCCATACACTCCTATCTGTAGGCATATGTGAAATCTCAACATTTCTCTCCTCATTCAGAAATCAGCAAATAGGAATAAACCATAAAAATAGTTCAAAATAGGATTTATACACAATATTCTAGAACAAAGGAAAGAAATCATTCTAAAATATATACAAAAAACATACCCCATCAAATGATTTGTAATAGGAGCCATAAGAAAATGATAAACCATTTGAGTCCTCAATAGAATGAAAAGTCTGTAACATATATGCAACAAGAATAAAATTAACATCACTTATTAAAACAAAATTAAATACATCAGTTGAGGAAAGAACAAAAAAGTTAATTGAAGAAATGGGAGGAGAATGAAAAATCAACACCACCAAGGAAGACTAAAATTAACAATCAGCATATTGCCAGAGTTTAAGACAACTATACACTGAGTAAAAACCTGAAGGAACTGTGACCCAGGATCAATAAACACCAGTCAGAAAAGTCAAAGTACACAAGCTGTATTTTGACCCTTGTTATATGAAATGACATACTACATTCTGTATGATAGTGCTCCACATGTAGTATGCTATAGGGAGAGGCAAAGTAAAAAAGAAACTTGAAGCCCTGATCATAGCACTTGTTGAGAATTATCAATTTTGTGTATATTCTATTGGTTCAGAAAAAGTTGAGATAGAGCCTCTATGTGATCAAAGCAGAAATCCATAGACGAGGACAGATAAAGATGAAGACATATCTGTCAAGAGGGTATCAATAAGAAAATGAAGGAAGTAACAGTGCAGTCACATTGGAGGCAATTAATCAGATCAAAATAGGGCCCAAAACTCAAACTATGCAGATGAGGATGAAAAGAACAAAGAAATGAAAAAAGAAATGTGAAAAATGATCACATGGAGGCAGAAAATTGAGATCACCCCTATGAATTATATGTGTCACCACGGAAGAAGTTAGAGAGAGAGGGGAATTCTTGAGGTTAGAATAAAGGGGTTTATTAAAGCCCAGATAAAACCAACTCTAGCTAATATTTACAGAAGTCTTACCACTGCTCTGGACTGTCTTCAATAAAAGTTATCACATACCATACAAAAATAATGCAAAGAAAATTCAACCAAGATCTTAACTGCAGTGTTATTAATTCTAGGAAGTTTGGTTAATAATTTCTTACCTTTATTAATTTTTAAACTGAGTTTATCTTTTAAGATAAAAATAACTTTTAAAATAAGTAATAAATTGTTTCAAAAGATGGAAAAGTAGACACAATACACATAATCTTAATTCCTTATCACATTAATGGTTTTCATTTTCCCTGTTTCTATCTACAAGGCCACTAATACCTGAGATATTTTATAAAATTATATATATAAAATAAACAAAAAAATCTTCTTGCTACCCCCACCCAACGATTTTTCATATTCTTTTCCACCTGAATATTTAGTAATATTCTGTATAAGTCAGTGAAATTGTGCCGAGAAGTATACTCTGAACTGAATCAACTCTTTCATAAATAGTTTCTGAACAACTATGAAGCAACATATCAAAATTTTTAAATCAGAATATGTAATTATATCCTTTTTATGTTATATTAATACAATTAACAAAATACTATCGATTTTCACAAAGGTGAAAATTTTGTTTTGTACAAAACAGGACTGAGACTGCCAAGATCATATTTCCATGAGCATTTCCCCATGATCTTCGCATCTCAAGGGTCAATTTCAAAAGAGAAAAAAAAAAGTTTTCTTATATTCAGAATTTCACGGTTTCTTTTCACATAACAAAAAAATAACTTTAAAATCCTGACAAATGAAGCATTTTGGGAAAATCAATGCTTACAAGTGAATAGAAACTACAGATGAAACTGCAATATATCTATGTCTTCTGGACCTTTCCTGGTCTAGCCCCCTCTTTGATATCCCTCAACACTGAACTCACTCTTCATCTTTCAGAATATCCTCCTTGAATATCTTTTTGTGATTACCCCATCCCTTCTACTCAAATCTCATATTACAATGATCAGCTTATATGCTCATTATCCCCTCTAGTATAAACTCTTTGAAGGCAGTCACATACTAAACATTCAATAAATACTGGTCATATAAATTAATTTTATCCTTCCATTATTCTAAAAATTCCCTCCCTCAAGGAGATTTTTCATCTGTCTGAAACCTTTGTTCTGTGCAATAGCAATATCAAAGAATCTGGAAGGCTTTGGTCTATCAACAGCAAATTCTCCACTTTTTATTATCTACAAATTTCATGCTTATAGCTTCTTACCTTAAATTCATATTTTATACAATTTCTTCCCTTAGGTTTATGTATGAAAGATAACAAGTTCAAATTATTAAGTAAATACATTTATATTTATATTTTGACTCAAAGTAATTCCCTTTAAGTCTGTGCACATGAAATTTGATAGTCATAAAAGTTGGAGATTGTAGACCACTGAATGTTTTCTCTGGTCTATCCTTCCATCAATGTAGGAATTTCTTCCTTGGAATCTTCTCCTACTTGTACTCTTAAACAAACAAACGAAAGTCCACAAATTCAGCAACTCAGCTATAGGTGTTTGAAGGCTATTTTTCATATTAAGGTGGCATGTGCCTCCATATACACTACTGATATTAATTCTGCCATCTTCATAAATATGAATACTTGTGGTATTTATTGAATGCCTATCATATATCAGAGATACTACATAAATTCGTTATCTAATTTGTCTAACATAAATACCTTTTTATGTCATTTACTATTATTGATAAATGAGGAAGTTGGCATCAGTTTAAGCAACTCATTCATAATCATAAAAAAAAGTAAGATTATATATTTGAGGTTTGAAACTAGAACATTCTAGCCCCATTGAATGTGCTGGAATGCATTATCTCCAAAGAGGAAAAGTTAACACCTTTCTCTACGGTATATCATTAAAGTAACTGATTATCTGTCATGTCTGGTTAAATTTTTTATCTTGCCATGCTAGACAAATCCAGGCTTTCTCAGAATGTACTTTCCTGAGCCATCATCCTCCTGCTTTTTGCCTGTAAGACCATCTTGATTTAACAGTTTTTTTCATTTTTCTCTTTACTTTTAGTCTTTGAAAATGCAATAATCTAAATGAGATTTGATTCATGCAGAATACAGTGGAATGATTTCTTCCTAGCACTCATTATCTATGTTTTAAGCAACAGTGAGTTTTTAACAGATATTAAGTTGTAGTAAAGAACTGCTGCATCCCCTCTCCTTCAAATTGTTTCTAAGTTAATTGCTGTCAAGCCATACCACCTAGGTATTCTCTATTCCTTCCTTAGAAAATGCAATCTTGAGGCAAATAAAAGACACTATTCAAACGGTTGCATTTCATCTTGCTGATCGCTGTTAAAATAGTTTTGACTCTTGATTCTGTTGACTTGCTGAGTCCCTACTCCCTATGTTCATTCTCTGTTAAAATGTACAACTGTGATTCAGACCTGTATTTCCACAAGTTAAAGTTATTCATTCACATTTATTAAATATTAATTAACTTCTTACTAATAAGCACATAAAAGTGGAAGACAGAGAACACATAGACACTATCATCCAGAGACATTTACTGAGTTAGAACAAGACAATTATGATGGGCAGTGTCTTGTTAGGACTAAACACCAGAAAAGTCACGAGTAAAATCTGGTCAAATATGGGAGAAAAAAAAAGTCACCACATAATTCATTACAGTCCCCACTGAATTCTTCCTCAGGATTTCTCAAAAAATAATAATTCAGGTAAGAATTCATCTGAAGTTGCTATTCTTAATAAGCATAACACCTACAAGAGTATAACATCAAAGCTGTTCTTAAAAAGGACAAAAAATGAGTACATCAACATTTCTTCCACCAACTGCTGTTTCATATTTCTTATTCCTGAATGAGATGAATATTGTGGGATCAAAGTCTGACAGATTCCTATTACCAAGATTGCAGGCCACTTCTTTTCAAATACCTTTATTATTTAACTTCTACTGACCAGACTTGTTATCTCTAACAAATATACTCAATAAACTACCATTCTACTTCTGTGTACGGAGTGTGGTGCTATAAAATTTGCCCTGCATAAATATGAAAATGGAAACTTCTGACTTTTGTATGTTACCCAGTAGGTTCACAGTAATTCGCTTTGACAAAAAAATTAAAGATGAAGATAATTCTAGCTGTTGGGTTTCCAGTTTATAAATATAAGAAGTACGTTCACCTGTTTTGAAGGTCTTTTTAATTCTAAATCAATGCCATTATTCAACTGTGATTGTCTAATGTACTATTATATGGCAAGTCCTCAACATTTCTTCATCGAAGCTTGTTGAGTAATTACATTGGATTTCATTAGCGTGATCAAATACCAGCTCCCTGCTGAAATATTTGAATCTACATACACCTGTTTTCACTTGGTATGTTACTCTGATTGCAAAACTGCCCTTCGAAATAAAAAGTAACAGCAGATTTTTATGGCATTGAACAGAATGATTTCCAAAATGAAGTGACCTGAAGTGATGGTCTATTCTAAATGTAATTTTTTGAAAGGTGTCAGTTTTTTGTTGCATGGGTTTTACCTATCACAACCTGTGATGTTTAATCAAGAAGTGTTTGTTAAATGACAGGAGATCTTTAAAGGACACAGTTCTAAGAAAATCATTAAGTGTTCAGACTCTAGAACTAGATCAAGCTTTAATTTCTGCTTTCACCAGAACTTGGACATAGTATCTTACCTCTGAGCATCAGTATCTTTGCCTTAAAAGTATAGGTAAATAATTCTACTTGCCAGAGTGGTTATGAGGATTAAAATATGTCATTTGCTGGGCTTTAAGCACAATACTTCTTCCATAATAAGTGCTCAATAATACAGGATATAGAAAACCCTCATTAATGATTATGAACTCTAAAGTAGGCATATTATTCAAAATGGCTCCCAAAATACAGTTTTTATGTAATGATAACATTAAAGTATTTCCTCTTGGTTTCTTGAATTTTGTCTCAAAGCAGGAATTAAGTGCAAAAAGTGCAGTCACAAAGAAACTTGACAGGAAGCAGCTCTGGATGAAAAGCAAATACCTATTTACTTATTAAGATTCCTAGCAAAGAAAACATCTCCATAGCTTCATGACTTACAGATTGTTGTGATTTCTTGTCCAAATGACAAAAGTGAACCTAGTGTTTAAGTACAACTGCTCCCAATACTGAGATGATTAGAAATTTCCCCTGAGGTGTTTCATGGAGTGGCCTCCTCAGGTGGATTGTACAATGTCTTCAACAGCAGCTCTGCAGGCACATAGTGCTTCAGTTCATAAGGCTGTCTCAGCATATTTCAGTATAAGTTTGGTATTATCACCCTGATGGGTAAATCTGAAACTGCAACCTTAGAAGTAAGAAACAGGGTAAAGCTCTCCTTCCAGATTAGGACAAGATGTGTTTAGCATGATCTTTCAGTAGTCCTGTATGGATATTCTGACTCTTGGCTAAGCTTTCCGTAGGCATTAGAGAGTACAACTTCTACAGTATACCAGCCAGATTTATTTCAAAAGATAGCTAAGCTGAAGATAATGTTTTCTTCCTACCAAAATGGAAGGGCCTTACAATACATCTTTTTAAAAGTAGCCTAATTTAAATTAATAAGAATTTCTGTACATATACACCTTCAAAATAAGTGGTACCTCTGTATGTGTGTTTCCCCCTCTAGGCTTTACGTATTTCTACAAAGGAAAGGAGTACTGGAAATTCAACAACCAGATACTCAAAGTAGAACCTGGATATCCCAGATCCATCCTCAAGGATTTTATGGGCTGTGATGGACCAACAGACAGAGATAAAGAAGGACACAGCCCACCAGACGATGTAGACATTGTCATCAAACTGGACAACACAGCCAGCACTGTGAAAGCCATAGCTATTGTCATTCCCTGCATCTTGGCCTTATGCCTCCTTGTATTGGTTTACACTGTGTTCCAGTTCAAGAGGAAAGGAACGCCCCGCCACATACTGTACTGTAAACGCTCTATGCAAGAGTGGGTGTGATGTAGGGTTTTTTTTTTCTTTCTTTCTTTTCCAGGAGTTTGTGGTAACTTGAGATTCAAGACAAGAGCTGTTATGCTGTTTCCTAGCTAGGAGCAGGCTTGTGGCAGCCTGATTCAAGGCTGACCTTTCAAACCCAGAGGGTTGCTGGTCCTGCACATGAGTGGAAATACACTCATGGGGAAGCTTCCATGATGCACAGTATCTGCCGTTCTTCAGTCCTTTGTCTTTCTTTGTCATTCAGTTCTAGGCCTTTCCTCTGCACGCTCAATGCCCAGTAAATTTTCAGGATTAACTAAAGAAGAGGAAAAAAAGAAGAAAAAAGATTCTTCTTAAAGGTTTCCAATATTATTTTCCTTCTGAAGCCTGAGCCCATTATCTGGGGGAAAAAAGCAAAATGGAAAAACCCATGAATTTTTGCTTTAAAGCAAAGAAAAAAAAAAAGGTTAAACAAAAAACCCACAATTGAACTTTCAGGAAAGTGTGAAGACCCAAAACAGCTTTGTCTCCAAAGAAGATAGCTCTCTGACTGCTATGGATAGTCTCCTACACTTCATTTTTGTCAGGTGGGAGATCTGGAATACACATGCAGGACTTTAGACTGTTGGGACAGCCATTTTCCAACAAACAAGGGGCCAAAATATCTGCAATATAGTAACAGCCTTAATAATACATCCATTTTTCGTTTTATACAGCTGTTCTCAGCTATGTCCTCAATGTTTCATCACATTTATATTCATAGCTATATTCAAACAGGACCTTTGATTGTTTTGAAGTGTTTCTAATCCCCTTCCTGCCACCTGACCCTACATCATTGTGATAATCTCCCCAAGTTGTATTAGGCCATTGCCCCAGGCCTTCCATGGGTCTGTCAGGAATATTCTTTAAGAGCAAGAAGCAGTATGTCTCCAAAGTGGTTTAAAGTGACAGTTATTTTGCAAGGATATGTGACTCTAGTAATACATTGGTGTAACCCTTTGAGAACTATCAGACTAGCTTTCAGAGTCTTAGGATTGTCAGTCTTGCTATCTAGTAAATTATAGAACTGGGCAATGGTAAAAACACACAGGTTCAAGAAGTTCAGGTTTTTAAAACAGACATCCTATAATCCCATGTAATTTTTAAGTGATTTGCGGTACTACATAAATGCGTTTATAGCAAACAGAAATGTTACTTGCCAAAATTTTTCCTGGCAAATAAAAGATATTTTATTCAGAAAATGTAAGAGTGAAATTTTATTTGAAGAACTGATTATAATAGCCTAAGCCTTTTTTTTTTTCTTAGACATACTGAATTTCTGTTTTAAAATCCGTTGCATGAAAATTCAATTTGCCTTAGTACATGCAGTTAGCATTGCCATTTTAAAAATGACTTAAAATGATGACTCTGAGATTGCATGAATATCCTCCAGTGCATTACCTATTGCATGTCAACCATAGTTCTCAAAGGGTTAGTGTGGCTTCTGGCATTTAGCCATCCATTTGATCACTGACAGAGCCAAGAGACCACCAAAGCATTTCATTGTTGAGTGTAATTTGTCCTAACAGCAGTATTGTCATTTTCATGTGACCTGCAGTGCAGGTTTGTATCAATATTTTTTTCCTAGAGAAAAGTCAGCAACTGACAGACCTCTTTATTGATTTTTAGGAGCTGCTTCTTGCAGTGAAAGGCTTTACAGCCACTGGGCTGTGAACTTATCAGAGATGGTCAGACCGAATGCACCCCATGAGTCAGACATTGGCTTTGTGTGAAAGCCAGCTTTTGAGGGGATTAGCTTTTGAAACAATGAACAGCTTGCCTTGAACTTGATTATTGATCTGTTGACTGTCATTAACAACAACTTAAACATTGTCTTCTGTGAAAATTTTCCTTGAAGAGTCCTGTTCTATGTCTTTGCCCTTTGACCTTTAACTTGCAAACTGGCACAAACTGAAGGAAATCTGGTGTTGCTTCTCCTTTGGAGTGTTAACTGTACTCTAAAACCCTAGTAAGCATGAGCTGTTTCCTTAGAGTAGAGAGAGAGAAAGAGTGTTGATGGTGGATCTGCAGATGGACACTTTGCCATTTACATGCACACTCAAAAAATGCCCTATAGGTAGAAGTGACTTTTAGTTCTCCTTTAATATAATTTCAAGTCTAAATTCATCATTTTCAGTACAAATATAAAACTATAGGGGAAAAAAAACCTCAAAATACTTGAATGGCCAGTGTGGCTTTTATATAAAGCAGGAATTTTATACTAGTGAAAATTTCTTACTCATTTGCTAATAATACACATTTCCAGATGATTTTTAATGAGTGTAGGTACATATTCTTATTTGGAAATGGGAGAGTTTGGCTGCCTTGAATTTATATTTATACTCAACATAGCATGAAAATTAGAATGTCTTTCAGTTAAACAACATGTTTATGATTTGGTTTGGGAAAATATTTTGTAATCATGGGTGGCATGCAGCAAAGCCTTTGCAGATTGTTATTTCTTAAAACCAGAACATATATAATGTAAGGATAAGAAAAAAGAACAGTTAAAAAAGAGGAATGGCTTTACAGCAAAACATTATGCAATGCAAACTGTATTTTGACAAGATATCAGAGATTATGTATGTGAAGGCCAAAAAAGAAAGCATGGGGAGAGGACCAAAATCAGTCCTATTGCTTTCAGTGCTTCCATCCTAGATGATGCTGATATTATAAAGAATTAGTCACTTCTACTGAGCATGGAGAACTATATACATAAGCTCACTTACACAGTGTTTGCTTATGGGAGGGTTTAATCCTTTTAGGACCTTGATGTCAAGAAAAAAAGATGACTGGAAATCTTAATGAAATGAGGAACTATGTCATTTGGGGACATGGGTAAATCATTGAGGCATTCCATCAACCTGCATTAAACACTGATTTTAACTTTTTTTTTTAAATGAGAAAAAAACTGAAGAAGCAATCTTTTGCCTCTTACTCATTTGTCACAATATCCTGATCCGTCATAAGACTATAAGTATATAAGGGCTAGAAAATAATCATAGCATTAAGAAAGGAAAGACCCTGTCATTATGCTTGAATTCTGAAAATGTCATGGATAAGTGTTGGGTCATATTTACTTCAATATGAGATGAGATTTATACAATAAGAAAAGGCATATACAGCTTCTCTCTTTACTAGAATAAATTTTCAGGCTGTGAGGCTACAAGAGATAAGAAAATATTAAGTTCTATATAATCACACACACCAAGATTCTATTTGTTTATTGTACAAAGGGCACTTTGTGAGTATGGTTCCTGACTCCTCTTCCACTTGGGGTTTTGGGGAAAAAAGTCTCAATCCTATTGGAATAACGAAAGAGAGAGAGACCAGTTGGTCCAGCAAATAAGAATAGTGATTCAAAAACAATGTGGAGTAAATTTCCATGGGTCAACAACATAATGTACCAAGTTCAGTATCAATAGAAACATAAAATCTATCAAATATTTTTCATCAAACATCATTGATAGCACGAAAAGTTCAGACCTAGGATTTCTCAAAATGAAAACACATTCATGATCACAAAACATAATTCTCCTTCTGTTTCATTATTAATACTTTAATATAAATACAAATGTAAACAAGGTAATGTTCCTTACGTAAATTAACTCTATAGTTTATAATTTTAGCCAAAATTATTGTTCTATATATTATTAACTGGACTGAAATGAAGTATTAAAATAGCCAGTCAGTCTGTATTCCCTATAAAGCAGTAAATCCACATCAAGACTGTAGAGGAGGTTATGAATTTAACTATTGACTCCTTTTAGAACAAAGTGTCTGCTGACATGGCAATCAGAACAGGTGAATACAGAAGCTCTTTACAACTACAGAGATACCATAGATAAATTAGAGAACATTATATGATACTAGCAAAGACAACTTCTGTTATAAATCAGAGGGCAAGGCTTTTCTGAATCAGTGTAATACATTACTAAGTAATAATTTACAGAAAATAATTACTAAGTAATAAAGGATAGAGACTGATTTACTGAAATAAGCAAATGTTACTTTTACTAGTCAGATTGCTTGTAATCTTTTTCTATTGACACAATTTGTTTCAGATACAATATACTTATTTTTATTCCCTTTCTGTGGGTGATTAAAAAATGCAATGTGGTGGATGAGAACATTGCCCAACTTCACTGGTAGTTCCAATATGTGGATGATGTGTATATACTGGATCCTAGGTATAGTAATATAATACTTCCAAGTTCTGCATATTATGCTGATATCTCTAGTATCAAATACATGCCCACACTTTGTGAATCTTACATAGAGTAACATATGTGTCCATATTGACTAAATTCAATGTGCTATCTGAAGAGAAATGGATGTTATAATCAAGTAGACTGAGTTAACACAAGAGTCATGAAAAGATCTTTTTTTTTTTTTTAAGTTTTGGAATTATTTCCAGAAACTAATAAAGGCGGTGATTTAATGATAGTATTGAGTCTGTGAGATTGTAACATATACTGAAACAACCTCGTGGATGGTGGTGAAATCTTTTTCAGCAAACATAGCAAGGAGTTCATTTCATTTTTGATGCTCTCAAGAGCACCTTCCAAAATATCACAGATGTCAAACAGAACATGCCGTCTAAACCGAAAATGTTAAATTCAGATAAGCTATTTATAAATAGCTGTAAATATAAACTCAGCCAATATATGATATCACAAAAGGTTTTAAGTCAATAGTATTAGAGGATTTAATCATTCCACTGCATCTCATGTACCTTCATGATATTGATTTATTGTGACTGCAGGTTATAACTGGCAAAGGATGTGTATCTATGTTTTAGGTTCCTCATTGCTGAAAAAGGAACCAAAGTTACATCTGAAAAAATTTATCAGTTATATTTTAAAAATTAGAACTTTATATAATAAAGAAAACAGCAACCAGATGGAGCACCACACCATAAATATGAAAATTAAATACTATATATATTAAATATAATGGAAATGGAGGAAAAAGAAAAATGAGTGTTTTGTAAAATATGAAAACTTAACTACAGCACTCCTTAATACAACTGGAAATTTTACTTTAGCAAGTATAAAAATAGAGAAAAATACAATTTCAAGCTCTTCATATTAGTAATGGGTATGTGATATATCAATGTATATAATTAGCCACTGGTTTTTAGATGTTACCCTACATAAATACATCTGATAGTAATGCACTGCCTTATAGGCTAAAAATGTCAAAAGTTAGGTGTTCAGTAACCTCAGTTGGAAAGATATATGTTAGAATCTCCTAAGAAAAGCCATTTCTCTAGGATAGAAATTTACCTCAGAAATCATATAACATAAACACTTGGCATTGTAGCAAAGAAGTTGCCTTAGTGTTCTAATCTCATCTAATGATAACCTTTGTCTTTCTGTCCTACTCAAATAATTTTGTATTTCCACTGGTATCATTCTGAAATGATTCAGAGCTATTTCAGTTCAGATGAACATCATTAATTACAAATATCTCTTTCAATATTTTATACATATTTCTATGTTGAAACTTAAAACAATAGTATATAAAGCCTAAGAATGAACACTGATCTAAACAAACCCTGACAAATTCACAGAAATTGAGTGAAAAACAGATATAAAATGTGTCACTATTCTGGTAGAATACTGATGTAGCAGCCTTCAATTTTTAGACACAGTTGTGAGCGCATAATTGGACAGCAACATGCATCTTTTTTAAAAAACAATGCTAATTCTTTATATGAGGTAAGGGTATAAAGTCATGAGTACTGTAAAACAGTACACAACTGAAGCTCTTTAAGGAAAATGAGGGCATACCCTGTTAATTCATGGTTAGCGCATAAGTATAAAAAAAAGAAAGATATTTATGAAGATTTCTAAAGATTCTATGCCTTTCCAATTTAAAGAGCACTGCGTCTTAAAAATCTGTCTTATACTAACATTGGACTGGGGGTAATATTCAAGTTTGTACTCAATGTGGCCTTATATTGAAGGCACACTGGGCATTGTAAGACATATACATCATAAACTAGAATGTCATGCTGATTCATGTAACTTTGCCATGTGCTCTGCTATAGAGCTGGATTTATATGCCCTTAAGAAGGGAGAAGAAAATCAATTAAATATAGATATGAAAATATGATAATTGTATCATGTTAGGCCACTTAGTTTCAGAGTAAGATGTCATTAACCCTTATTTCACATAGAAAAACCAGAAGGAAAGAATGGTGCAAGGAATAAAATGATTAACTTTTTGACTTATGAAGATGTTTCTTGAGTATTTTATCTACTTGGTTTTCTCCATGAAAAAAAAAAAAAAACCATGAAATACAGACATATCTGTAGTACTTGGTCTGTAGCTAGATTTGATCCCAGGCATAACACTTTTTGACACAGGCCTTTTTATAAATGCCTCATATACGATGAAGCTTTGGTGAGATGTGACTGCATGCTAGGATGCTTTTTTCCTAGGATAGGATATGGTGCTGCTTGTACTTGCCACATTTTGTATGAATATATGTTTCTATGTTGGCCTGTCTTGCTAAGATATGGATGAATAAAGCCTGGTGTGAGCTGTCGATTTACAAAGTCACTAGAATGCATGTTTCATTTGTTCTTTCGTAATGCCAGTTTGAACTTGTTCCCTCTCTATATATTGATAACCCAGTTGTGAAGGTAAAACACAGTTTCCCTGAGTGACTGATTCAGTCCTTAAATCAATGTCATAATCTTTGATACCACTGAAATAACATCACAGCAGCCACATTATTGCCTGTCTTCTCACAGCTCTTTTGTAGTACTACTGCCTGGGTAAAATTAGGGTTGTTTTTGTTTTTGTTATTTTATCACTTCTTTTCTATCTGAAGTGGAATATGTTATTCTTTTATATGTTCATAAATACAAAATTTCACAATCTTAGTTATTTTGTGACTTTCAAACAAACCTGATTTCTTAACAAGGATGACTGGGTGTCTGGTTTTTCTGCTCCTCCAATTCCGAAATTATTTGTTTGCTTTCTGTGTGTCACCCCAAAATACAGATGGTTGGGAGGGAGATATTATTTTGTGTTGTCTTATGTAGTCTGTCCCCATTTTGCATTCCTTTCCATTTCTACCTTGACCCTCTTTTTTTACAGATTTGATTTTACCTTCTGTTTATGAAAACCAGAACTGAGCAGCACCGTATATCAGACATGGGCCCAGAAAATGTTTCTGTTCCTCAGTAATTTCCTTCACAAGTTTCATGCAAAGACAGCTCCCAATCAATTTCACACATTTTCCAATCTCTTACATTGGATTCTAACTTTTTTAGAGTTATTCCCCTGAGGAAAGTGAAATGCTGAGTATGAAGGCTGTTGTATGTTGATAAGCCAGCTAAGAAAGTTTGGTTTTGGAGAATGTATCTTAAATAATTATACCAGAAAGTAAATACCATAACATAGTGTTTTGTTTAAGGTACATCATGTGTACATGAATGCCTAAAACCTCAATTTTTGTCTATTTCCTTTTATGTGTGAATTACATAAATTATATATTATAAAGAGAGAGAATAAAAGAATAAAGGGTATTATAGTGGCAGCTTTTTGCTGCATTGGTTTTGACTGCATCAGCATTTCTCCTGTGGACCTCTATTTTCAGGGGTTTTAGAGACTCACCCATAAAAATTTGCTTCAGGCTTAAAAGTCTTGAAAGATTTTTTTTTAGGTATATAATTTTAAACAAAGATATCTTGTTTTTATAGGGAGGAAATAAATGGAGTTTACTAGTTCAAATTTGTGCTACTATAACTTTTAATAAACCTAATTTTTAGTAAAAACATAG